GCCTCCTCAGCAGCACTAAGGATGTCCGACTGCAGCTTAGGCCTGCTCCCTACTGGTAAGTGGACATCCCCAGAGGGCTGCCGGGCTGCCAGAGGGATGTCTGACTGCCAGCTTGGGCCCAATCCCCCAGGGAGCAGGCCTAAGCCAGCAGGTGGACATCCACCAAGGGGTCCCAGACTGCAAGAGGGCATAGGTCAAGCTGAGAGACCCCACTGAGTGCACACATTTTTGTGCACTGAGCCTCTAGTAGCTAAATATAATTGATATCCTTTTAATATATATTAAAAATACTATTTGAGAGACAAATATGGATGAAATATGTTCACTATATTTAAGAGACGGGGCAGGCAAACTGAGATAAGCTGGTGATAGACTTAAAAGAAATAGGACAAGGGACTCTAAGAAAAACAATCAATAAATTTCATGATGGATTGAATGCAAAATGAAACCAGAGAAGGGGATAAAAAAGAAATAGATGCAAGTTCTGGGTCCTGAATTAGCACATAAAAGTGCTTAGCAATATGCCTTTCAGAAAAGAAACAATGCTCTCCTATTGTCTCTGTTGTTTGGGGTGAGAAAGTTGTTTTGTTTGTTTCGGGGAATTTTGTTTTGTTCCTCTGTTTTGCTTGATTTATGTAGAGGAGGTTAAAGAAGATAATTTGGCTACATTAATTTTGAAAGTGAATAGCATTCAAATTCAAAAGCCACTTCTTAAAACACTGAAATGCATAAAAGGAAAAATCATAGCTAGGTGCATATAATTAGTTTGGCCAGGAAATTTAAAGACATGGAAATAAGGAATTTTATAGAAGAAGTGAAAGAAATAATTGGAAATAAATACTGTTCCTTGTGATACTATTCTATGAAACAGGGGTGCAGCTGAAATTTGTATTTAGTCATCAAGTATTTGTGGACCACAGTGAGCATGCAGTGAGATAGCACTGGGAATATAAATACCTTTAAGCCAAAGTCTCTGCAGTGGACAGCTTATTGTCTAGTCATGAAGATGGATATAAAGCCAGTCATCATAAGTCAGAATATCATTTGACAAAGCAGGGATGTGACTGGATGTGTTATTGAGGCCTATTGCACAAGCCGCAGTATGGCCAGGAGGGTGAGGGGAGTATTGACAGACCATAAACAAGTTCACAGGGAAACTAGCACAGTAATTTAAGTTGGGAAATAAAAGCTAGAATTAAGGAAGAAGTAGTAGAGATAGCAGTAATTTATTCTAAATTGGAATCTGATGATACTTCAGAATAATTTTAGTAAAGCTTTTTCATCTGAATAATTTTCACCAAGGCATGGATTTGGGTCAAGCAACCTTTGTGACATCAACTAAAAACTTATCCAAACTTGGACAAGGCCTGGGGAGAATACTCAAATCTCATAAATATGCAAGTTTCACAATATTAAACAGAAAAGCGCCCCCCCCCCCCCGCCGCCATAGGGTAGAGAGGTAAGCAAAGATTAAGGGGAAGGTGAGACACCATGGGGAAATGACCAGTAGGAAAAAGTGTCCACTGTTGTCAGCCGACTCTCAGGATAAGCAATGGAGCATGTTCCATTTTGTAGTGCTTGTTCAAGCTTTAGGACCAGTGGAATTTAGGGGCTTAAAGCAGCCTGACTATCACTTGGTTGAGACTAAGCATGGCGTAATATAAGTGCAATTGTGTACAACTGATCAGACACAAATGAATAGATCTGCATATAATTCAAAAACAGGATAGCATAATGGAATTAGCAATGACTTAGTCTGTAGTTTAATAAAGAGCCTTTTCTCTTGTATCTACAGGCTTGGTGAGAAGTCTTCTTTGCTCTCTCCTCATGACGATTCTTCTTACTCAAAAATCCTTTGACACATCTAGCAACATATTATCAGCCTGCTTACAATAAATACATCCAACGTGCTTCAGAAAGCATATTTTATCAAACAATTCAAAAAGTAGAGTATTATTTGTATTCTCTCAGGCATTAGGTTGGAATTTTTTAAAAAAACTCAAACTATAAATAATGTGCCTGTGTACAAATTCCAGCTTTCAAAACAACAACAACAAAAAAAGGGAAAAGTCAATCAACTAATGTTACATGAACAACACATACCTGAGATCAATAGTTGTAACACCGTAGTAATCATATAACACAATGATCAATAGTTGTAACATAGTAGTAATGATATAATGATATTCTGGACTATTTGATTTTTTTCTATTTGCTCTCTGTGTTAAATGTCATAAAATTAAAAAACACTTTCCATGCATAATAAATTGATCTATGAAGCATGTGTCAAATATCCGATTGTATTAATTTCCTAGCACTGCCAAAACAAAATACCACAACTGGTAGCTAAGAAGCAACAGCAGAGCCTTGCTCTTTGTGACAGCTCTAGGAAATAATTTATCTTTGCCTTTTCCTAGTTTCTGGCATTTATTGGCAATCCTGACATTCCCTGGTTTGTAAATGCATCACTGCAATCTCTTCCTCTGTTGACTCAAAGCCGTTTTCTCCCTCTTTGTCTCTTCTTATAAAGACAACAGTCATATTAAACTAAGGACACACAAGCTTATTCCTAGATAACCTTGCCTTAACTAATTAAATCTGCAATTACCAATATTTCCAAATAAGCTCAATTTCTGAGATATGGTTTTTTGTCTTTGTTGTTTATCCTCACCTAAGGATATTTTCCCACTGATTTTTAGAGAGAGTAGAAGGGAGAGAGACACAGAGACAGAAACATCAATATAAGAGAGACACACATCAATTGATCAATTGGTTGCCACACACACCCCGAACATGTCCTGGAATTAAACCTGCAAAGAAGGAATGTGTGCTTGACAGGAATCAAATCCAGGATTCTTCAGCCCACTGGCTAAGGCTCTATTCACTGAGCCAATCCTGCTAAGGATGGGGAATGAGGGGGGACATGAGGGTGCGTTAGAAGAGGTCAATGGGGGAAAAAGAGAACATATGTAGCACTTCCAATAATAATATATTCTTAAAATTAAAAAAGAAAGTGAAAGAAATTCATTGCAGTTTTATTTTCATATATATTTAATTTTTAAGAAATGGTTTGTATTAAAATTGGAAAAAAAATTTTGAGGTATGGGGAGATAGGACTTCAACATATCTTTGGGGAGGGACACAATTGGACATATAGCACCCATATCTATTTTTATTCTCATTTTTTACAGCTATCCTATGCCAACACCCATTAAATTTTTCAGACTGCCAATATTTTTAACTAAAAGCTATACAGTATTATTTTATAATCTTCTGGGACAATGATTATGGAAGAAATCAGGTCATGACATAACTGGAGGGCTATTCAAAGGGCAAGAAAATCATCTAGGCAATCTCATTTTATATATTTTAAATATATTTTTATTAATTTCAGAGAGGAAAGGAGAGGGAGAGAGAGAGAGAAACATTGATGAGAGAGGATCATTGATCAGTTGCCTCCTGCATGCCCCACACTGGGGATCTACCCTGCAACCAGGGCCTATGTCCTGACCAGGAATCGAACCATGACCTCCTGGTTCATACATCGACACTCAACCACTGAACCACGCCAGTCAGGAAGCAATCTCATTTTAATTGTGAAATGTTCTGTACTAAAAGAAAATCTAATCCATGAAGTTTACCTAAAATCACTAGAGTACTAAGCAAAATATTGCCTTTAGTCATATTTGAACGGGAAGCTATTTCACTTTTAGCAGGTAGCTGGAAAAAAAATCTCAGCTATATAGAAGGGAGATTTCAAATAAATGGCTAGTGAGTTGAGAGAGAAACCAAGGGTTTGACAGCCTTAGGATTTCAAATGAAGAGAGAAGTATGATATTTCAAAAAAGAAGGGATGATCAAGCCTACCAAATAGCACTAAGAGGATGGTAATATGAGCACAGTTTAGCAAGATGAAAGTTGTTGTTGACCTTGGAAAACAAGTGGTTTCAGTAAGGATATGATTTGATGGGAACAAGTTGAGGACAGTATGTTTGGTTTGTACTTTTGATCCTAAAGGTTAGGAAAACATTGCGAATGTAGCAAAGAGGGAATAAGTACTAGAGATGAATCTTTGTGTAAACTCAAACGGATGGAGTTGAGTGTGCAGTGCAGGAGTTGGTAGAGAAATAATTCATCACAATGAAACAATTACTCCACTGTCAGTGACAATGAATATCAGAGCTTTCTTGTAAGTTTTTGGTTCTTGGGCATTACTGGCAAAAATCACATAACCCACCTCTTACTGATTGTGGTATTGGCTCTGGCTGCTCTGATAAGTCAAGTAACAACAAGGGACACTAATCATATACTGTGCAGTCCACTAATCACATTCAAACTTCAATAAAACCCTTTGAATTGGCTCCTATAGATGTAGAAAATGAAGCTCCAGAAAAATCAAGTAACTTTCAAGGCACAACTTAGCTGCTATGTTGCAGAGCTGTGAATCTGATTTTACATTTGAATCTTTTTTTTCTAGGGTAACCATAGAATTTGACATCTGATGCTGGGTACTTAGAAGGCGTAAAGCACAGGTGTAATGATTTAACTGGTATTATAGATGTAAATGAAGTCTTTTTAGATCAAACAGCATATGATTACCTTTTCCCTCTACTTTTTGATATCTTTTAATATTCAATTCACAGCATTCCATTTAATTTTAATCTTTCATGGCTATTTTTAATGATAGAAATAATCTAAAGTTAATATTAAAAAACAATTAAGTTTGAAAGATTATAATAAAGACAGGAAAAAATAATATGCATAAAGGATTAATTTATTGAAATGACTGTTTAGGAAATACTAATAATACGTACAATTCCAGAAAATATTTGAATACATATTATTGATAGGGTTATGGTATTTCCAACTCAAAACTGAAACTTTTGATACACTTTTAATTAAAATATGGAAAAGAGAGGTTATGAGTCCAATTCAAATTAAGATAAATGTTACATAATACTAAAATAAAAAAGAAATACATTTTTTCATGTAGAATAATTTACACATTATTACTTTTTTTGATTGCATGATACAAAGATTGAAAAGATGCCACATTTCCAGTTGCAGTCAATTCTATGGAATAGAAAACAAACATACAAAGAATTAGTTATGTTTTATGATATAACCATACATCTCTCTCCATTTATAATTTTGGGATGACTAATTCATTAGAGGAACTTTATTACCAATGTACCATGTTGTGCCCTATCTTGCATATAAGTCTCCTAAGACCAAGTAGCATCTCACTTGAAATTTTTTTAGTGAACTATCTACTTTAACATAATAAGTAAAAAATTGGTATCTTAAGAATCTCAAAGTTATATTCTCTCCTCTTTTTAAACCTCAGACTGAGACTAAATAAGTTTATTTTGACCCACGAGTTAAAAGATAATATGTAAATTTTAAATATGATTTAAAAAATCATTAAATTTTAAGAAGCCTAAGATAGAAATGAGAATTCAAGTTCATCTTTTTAAAAGCTCATGAATATTTACATAAATGTAGAAGAAGCTGTTTTCAGTTTTCTCTAAAATTATGATAATCGAGCATAAGGACATAGGCACCTAAAAACAAACCATTCAAATCTGTCATAACACAACTATCATTAATGAAATAAAACATACACAACTCCAGGAGATTACATAATAGTCAACTATGTTGATGTCCCTGACACACTGATAATTAATAAATAATTTTTTATATTTATGGAGTCTGTCACTACCTTGGTCTTATTCACAACAATGTAATGTAAGAATGTATTAACTATAAGAATAATCAATCTAATCTCCATTTCCCCAAGCTTACCAAAAGTGAGACTCAAACATTAACATTGAAATCCTCTTAAACCTTAAAAGAGAGAGAGAGAGAGATAAATATACAATTGAATTTTTGGCAGTAATACTTCTAAAAATTCAGTGGTTGTGGGAGTGGATGAAAAATGAAAGAGGGTAAGGGGGAATAAATGGTGATGGAAAATTAAATTAAATTAGACACAAAAATTAACCAATAAATAAAAATTTGGCGAGTAATAAAATAAGCATATCAATTGTTTGCCCTCACATGTACAAATGTCACAAACAGGATGTGCATTAAAGCATGTAGAGAATAGATGTACACAAGAATATAATTAAACTCATTTCAACATTCAGATTCCCAAATTGAATTCTGAATTTAGTATGTTTTAATCCTCTATATCTATGTTCTCTAGACATCAAATAAATCAGAGTCTTTGAAATAATTTCTTCTAAATACTCAGTATCTTCTACATAGAAAATCAGAAGATTTATTTCTAAACCTTTGTGAGCAGACCTAGTCATTGGAATTTGGGGGAAAACAAGTTTTCTAGGTTATTTTATTTCATAACTAGTGTTGAGAATCCCTGATGTCAACTACATGCATTAGGGGTCTATTTAATATTCATTTATTCTTTGACTAGTGGCCCTGCACATGAATCCATGCACGACTAGCTCTTTGACGTTTGCCTCAGCTGGCCACCCCACCCACCGCCAATTGTAGTTCTCCGCTGCACATAGCTTGCTGCCCCACCCTCCTGTAGCTCTCTGCCCTCCTGTAGCTCTCTGCCACACATAGCTCACTGCCCTGCCCTCCTGCTGTTCAGTTGTTACATGACGACATCCCAGACCAATTTGCATATTATCCTATTATAAGTATAGATTCTGGATCTCCCACTTCTTCTACAATCATATACACATCATGAATGAGAAAACAGAGTTCATAAAGTAGGACTTACTTGTTGTAAGTTGTAAACTGGGGCAATAGGTTGAGTCACAGGGTAGATTGCCTGGGTAGGGTCAACCAGAAGCTCTGGGTTCAACACAAGGGCTTGGGCAGGCATAGCTCTCTGGGGGTAGGTCAGCACTTGCTGGGAAAGAGGCAGGACTTTGGACTGAGGAAGGGAGACCAGGGGCTGAGTGGGAAGCATGGGAGTCTGAAGAAGAGGCTGGGGGATCTGGGGCATCCAGGGCTGGAGCAGAGGCAAAGGAAGCTGTGCTTTGAGATCAGTGAGGTTTGGGATCTGGCGCTGAAGAAATGGCACTACTGGAGATTTAGGCAATTGCATCACATTGCGCTTAGGAATGATGGTCTCCTTAGTATTGGGGACTTCCATCACTTCAGGCTGAAGGAGAGGCAGCACCATAGCAGGCTGGGCAAGAGGCAGGATGTTTTGTGGAAGGACAGGGTAAGGCATGGGCTCAGCATAAGGATAGAAAAGAGGCTGTGGCTGGACAAGAGTGTGGATTTTGTCCTGGCGTTCATCCTGGAAAAAAGGAAAAAGAATCTTTGTGTCCATGATTCAGCTATAATTGTCATTCATGATGAATTAACCTCCTCTCTATTGAGGAATCCTGAGTGAAAGAGAGAAGGAAAATCATTTACCTATGCTGGTTAAAAAATTATTTGGGGACATGTGAAAATGAGTTAAATACTCATTGAATTATTTATCATTAATCCACTTCCTTCATAGGTGGACCCAGATCAAACTGAAATCAAATGTTTGGGAATTTCAAGCTTGTTTCTCCTTTCTGAGTTCCCTTTAATACTGTGGATGGCTGCAGAGTTTGGTACTTAGAAGGCATGAACTTCTCAACATAGTGTAAAAGTAAACCAAATTGTTTCATGTAATGAAAGTTAATTTTAAAAAGACTTAGAGGAATGTTTCCAAGATTTACTTCTATGTGTTTTAATGAAAAGTAAATCTTAACTTGTGGTTTAATTGAAGGAGTTACTCAATACCAGCTAACTTCTAGTACTAGTTTATTTAGTAGATAGTCATTATTGTAAGCCTTTAAAGAGGCATCATTTTGTAACTTCATTTTTATTTAGAAAAATATTTCTGGTATTACTAAACCCAAGTCATTGACAAAACATGAAGCTGAAATGTTACAAGTAGATATGTTACCACACATGTATTTCAATTAAATAATTATTTGTTATCCAAGAAGACCTATATTTTTAAGCAAGCTCTGCTACTTATAACTGTGTGATATTGTCGCACAATTGTGTACTCAGTTGTTCTGCATATCACTTCTCTCCTCTGTGTAATGCAGTCTTTTATGAATGTATTCATCAATGTTAATATAAAATACACAATTTTATATAAACCCTTGTGTATTTAATGTGTGCCAGCTCATCAACCCTAAGGGATTATTAATATTCTCAGTTTATAGTTGAAGAAATGGAAGTACAAAGAAACTTGGGGTCAAGTTTAAATAGCTAATCAATTATCAGATTCAGATTTATGACATATTTTCTTACCATTTCTTTTGTCACCTATGTATCTTGAGAATAAGGAAACCTGTTTCTAACTTGAAAATGTATCTACTAGTGTTCATTATGGTAAACATAAATTGAGCAAATCAATGATTATTCTAAAGTATTTAGTCTATATTCTCCAAGTGGATTATGAGATTAAAAATGCACTTATATCTTTAAAATATATTGATAATGTTATATTCCCCATGCTGGTAGTATTTTATTATAATTCTTTAGACTGAATATGCCCATCTCTTGTATGGATTATATTTTATAACAATTTTTTTTAAATATACTCATTATGAACAAATTACCTCTCTTTGTTGCTGTTTCTCATTTTCAAACTGTTCAGGTTTCTGCTAAAAAAAAAATAACATGAATAGAAACAGAATAATCTGTAAAAATTAAATGTAGAATATTTTGAAAATATGTACATTTAATTATGTCTCCCCACTTATGTGTGATATACAACTGAAATTCATACAAACACACACACAATAGTAAGGTAGTTACCAGAGAAGCAGGTTGGAGGGTAGTAAAGGATAATGGGCCGAGATATATGGTGATTGAAAATTACTGGACTTTGGGTGGTGGGCACACAATGCTATAAACAGGTCATGTATCATAGGAACATATATTTGAAGTCTATATGATATTATTAACCAAATAAATAAATAAATACAGAAAGAAAGAGAGAGAGAGAGAGAGAGAGAGAGAGAGAGAGAGAGAGAGAGAAAGAAAGAGAGAGAGAGAGAGAGAAAGAAAGAAAGAAAGAAAGAAAGAAATGGCTCTACCTTATAGATGTGGGTAATGGATTCCTTCAGAAAAATAAAAATAAAAGTAGGTTAAGTTTTCATGGAAAATTTTTATTTGCCAATATGAATCAGAATATGAAGGCATTTAATAGGCTAATGTTGACACCTTACTGAATAATATAATGAAAAGCACAGCATAATTACTGAAACTTATATGTTACACTGTTCTGCACAAGTCTGCTCTATAAACAAGACAAATGAATGCAGTCAAGAAAGAAAAGTTAGTGAATATAGTACAACAAGAAGCATTTAATAGACACTAATTTTCCCTCACTATGCTCCCTTCCTATGACAACAAATGATCTCTAAGACGCCATCTGATTCTAAAGAATAAAATTCATTAATAAGAAATCATAACAACTATTAATACATTCTGTTCATATTCTTAGTTCCTTGGTTATGTTTAGGTTTCAAATAAGTTATAAAAAGTAAAATACTTTCCCTAAGGATCTGATAACCTTTATGAAGAGATAAAATAACCCAAGTACCACTTAGCAGGTGACAGACTTCCAAAAGTGGTGCAAGTGTAAATATCTACCTGACCTTCCCAGACAGACTGAAGAATAAAACTAAGTCTCACTGCTCTGATTTACTAAAGTGACTCCTGTAATGACAAAATATGTCCATTTGCATGTCTGCCCACCCCTTATATTGCAATTCTTTCCTATGGGCATCTGCTTTTCAATTTGTACCACAGCTCCTAGTCGATATCTAAGCCGCAGAAGGTGCTCAATGAATACCAAAACAGTGAATGGGGTCAGTGTGGAGAGAGCTCCAGTCATATAAAAGGAGTGTAGCATTCACTTAAAGAAGGGGGTGGGGCAAGTGACAAGGTTCAAGTAGCAGCTAGCATAAAAAGTAGCATAGAGAATAGGGAATTCTGTAGACATTTATTTTGTCCTTAAACATATAATGGAAATTTACATCAGAATTTAGGTCTGAACTAGCTGCATTGACTTATGTGCCCTAAAGTAACACAATATAAAGAGTTTCTAGCATTTTACTGTCCAAATGGAAAATTCCCTCAAATGAACATTGTCTTACCTCACTGCTAGAAATGCTTTCTACAGTCTGTAAAGAAAAAATGCAAAATCAACAACTGGATCATCAAAGACTGTTACTTTCTTTGAATTTTTTTTTGTATTGATTTGAGAGTGAGCGGAACATTGATGTGGGAGAGAAACATGTGTAAGTTGCCTCCCATCCACCATGACCAGGGATTGAACCCGGAACCTTGTGCTGCATGGGATGAGCCTCCAACCACTTCAAGCAAAACAGCCAGGGTAGAATGTTACTATGTATGGTTGGAAAAATTTTCTCTGAATAAAATATCTTACCTCACTGGATACACTGACTTCTTTCTTCTGTAAAGAGAAAAAACAACACCACCATTTAGTTTTTATAGCTGACTCATTTTTCCTTCTTTATGCAGAGTTATCTCCTTCAAAAACTTAAGAAATAAAAAATGTTATATATCCTTTGAGATCCTTGAAAAATATTTGTGTTTTATGTCTTGAATATTTGATAACTATAATGGTATAATTTTATTTTACCTATTTCATTTTCCTATTTGTCTTAGGAAGGGAACAGAGTGAAAGAGAAAATTAGGGTCTATTAAATGTTGCTCGTTGTATTATGTTCACTAAAATAAATGAAGAAAAATTTTTGATGGGTAACAGAAAGGGAGTTATTTGAATTTGCATCAAACAATTTTCATTATGCTTATGATTATGAATATTGCCTTTGCTCCACCCCCTGGATTTCTTTGAGTAGACATGGGTAGGATTTGGCCCAATGCCCCAGAGTAAGAGGTACATCAGTTTCATCACTGATAGGTTTATCTAGGTTGCACATGCATGCAATTATATTTGTGCAATATTACTCTTTTTTTCTGTTTTTTTCTGTGTGTTTCTTCTCCTTTTGCCTGATGTTTGTTTTTTTCTTTAGCAACTGGTTGCCCAGTGGTGTAGAAAGCATTTAAACCAGATTTATGGTCCTACAGGACTCTGTTGAAATAATCAGTGAATATAAATTATTTTCTTGAAAGTAAACAAAAAAATCTGTTGAAATTCAGCTTTCTATGTGCATTTAAAATGTTGCTGATGCTGTTCTCTACACGTGGGATAATATTTCACTACATGTTCATCATTTAGCGTTTTTTATTACCTCTGATGCAAGTGCAAGGGCCACGAGGCAGGCAAGGATGAGGACCTTCATGGCTCTCAATTCCTGTGAAATGAAAAATGAGGAAATGGTAGTATAGTTGTCAATCTAACCACTTATTTAGGTAGGAATATTTTTTTTAAAAGAAACCAAAACAATGTAAAAGTAAAATATCTGTGTTTTAGAAAAAATTACTAATGGAAGTTTTATCGTACACCAAAGACAAAATCTACAATGGCAACGTGGTCTTACATATCAATTTTATAATTCAATACCAGCCATTCAGGTTTATTCAGCTATCAGCTGTAACCTACTTCACTCCTTTAAGTCTCGTTTAGAGTACAGTGTTGTTATTTTTTTAAAAGATAGAAGGAAGCTTTAAATGTTTATATAAAGCTTTATTAATTGCTTCATTTATTCAAAATAAGTAATATTTATTTCACATCCTTAATTGCCCGATGCTGGTTAAGGTCTTGGTTTAAAGTAATGAACAAAATATTAAGGTCTCA